ATATAAAAATAGGGGTGGAGGAAATTAAGGACTCTCAAAGTTTTTCTCCCCAGGGACTGAATCAGTGTCTCCTACACCTTCAGCTGCAGTAGGGAAGTGCAGGAAAGAAGTAGGAAGGGCTTTCGCATGGCAATGCGGGTGCCTTTGGCTCTTAGGGGCTGGGCTAGGGGGTCTGTGGCAGCCGCCTCGAGACACATACCTTCCAGGAAAGAATGTGACAGTGTCTGCAAAGCTGAAGGGTGTCTCCATACTGCTCTTTCCGTGGGTAACATCGCACAAGTTTAAAATACATCTTCTTCCAATCCAGCTGTCCTTTGTCGGACAAAATTAATCGCTTGCGGATCTAAATTGCAAACGAATACAGATAATTGCACACGACTGCAGGAGAGTTCATCAAGAAGATGGTTTGTGGTTTTGTGCTTCTGAAAAGTTCTGTTCCCACATCTCCTTCCCACTTGTTCATCTATGCCCTGCACTTGCCAGGGAAAAAATTGCCCAGATAGAAAGAAGGTCCTTCTGAGCTCTACCCAGTGAAATGGTAGCTTTTACCAGTCTTTAAAAGAAACAGGGGGCTGGTGACATCTTATTGTTGACCTCTACTAAGTTGTATTTGGATGGTCCTTTAAAGTTTAGGTGATTTCAATAAACACCTTCAATCTTTTCTTTGCTGTAGACTTGAGTGATTATTTCCAGGGAGATGCAGTCCCTGCTTGGCACAGTGGCTCTATTTTATATCTAAATATTAGTGGCTTCATGAACAGAACTTGTTGAACTCACACATCTATATAGAGGGTGGAAAAAAAAGTCTGGGGCAGCATGAGGAGGGGAAACAGGCCTAGAGCTGGTGTCCGAAGCCCCGAGTTCAAATTCATACTCAAGGCCAGTTTCCTTCCCTTGAGAGCCATTTCCCTAGTTTGTGGACGGAGTCCCCTCATCTGTTTAAAGTGAGCATCAAGATACCTACCCCACCCTGGGTTGTTAGACTAAAATGAAACATATCTATAAAAGTTCCTTAGCTGTAAAATATAAAGATAAGTTGCTTTTGTAAGTTACTCTGTTATAGAAGAGGAGGACAGGTGTTGCTTTATGAACTTTTTAAAGCAAGTTGTGAAGTGTGCATATAGGTTAAGAATGTAAGTTGTTTTTTCCACTAGAATCACATACATTATTTAGAAACTCCTCGTATTGTTGCTCTCTAGTCAGCCGGGAAGCCCCCTGGAGGGTGGGCACCCATGCCTCAAGCTCAGGAAGAATGCCAAGGAAGTTTGAGGGTGGGGGACAGAGAAGGGAGAGGAGGGACTGCCCGTGAGGGCCCCTCTGACCTGCCGCTCGGAGAAATGGTATTGGCAGAGCTTCTTCCAAAGCAGCCGGTCCTCGCTGAGCACGTGCAGGTCGGGGGCCACCTGGCCGAGGCTGACCAGGTCACGCCCGTCACTCAGCCTCTGCATGATGTTCAGTTGGAGGCACAAAGGCAGGTCAGTGAAGGTGAGGCCTTTGAAGGCAGGCTGTGGGGAGAAGGATGACGTTAAGTTGCAGGTTGTGGGGGGCGGGCCGCACATCACCAGGTGACACTGAGGATGCAGGTGTCCCCTTGTCCTCCACCCTCAAGCTGGTTGACTGATCCCAGATCCAAAGCTGCAATTCTCCCCCCCCTGAGGGCAGAAACAGGACCCGCGGCTGAGGCCCACAGGAATAGCCTGGAACAGCTCGAGCTGAATGGTGCCAGAGGGATTTTCCTAAGTTTCACAAAGCTTTATACTTTTAACGATTCTCCAAACAGCACATGTTGGATTTCTCTGCTCCACTCAGTTCACTCAGTGACCAGATTCGCTACCTTCCTAAAGGGCCCCATGCCCTGGACAGAGCGCCCCGGCCTGCCACCTGTGCGGGCTTTCCCATCACCCCTCCTGGCCACGGATCCCTCCAGGCGGGTTTTCTTGCCTGTGCCCAAACACGCTGCGCCTGGGCCCCCCGCTCTCCCCTCGCCGCTCTGCCCATCCAAATGATGCTCTTCCTCAGATCCAGCTTATACCTATTTTCTCTGAAAGGGAATTTCTTTTCTGTTTTCTGTGGGTACTCCAGGCATCTTCCTGGAATTCTATGAACTCTTCTGGGGACTTTTTGAACCAGCCCCTTTTTGTTATGTAATGCAAACTGTTTCCAAAAGGAAGCTTGAATGGAACATTCCTGCTGGAACGTAAGCTCCAGGGAGGCAGCACGTTTTGTCTTTTTTCATTGCTGTGTGCTTTATCCATAGAAGAGTGCTTAGCATATAGTAGGTACCCAAAAAATATCTGAGGGATGACTGAAACCCTCCTAATTAAGTGGGTGAAAAACAACAACAAAAAGACCCTGTGCTTGTTGTGTATATTTGTGTGTGTTTGCACCCGCATGTGTGTCCTTTAGGAATGGCTGGTCCAGAAACTTTTGGCGTTAAGTGCCCCCATCCATTAGAACATCTCTATTCAAACCTAGGGCTCCATGGAATATTTAAAAAAAATTATTTGTGGATAATACGTTGACAGTTAATCAGGAGCTGTTTCTGCTATAACCCTCAACTTGTATTTAATTGTTTAATTTTATATTTATTATTTAAATTTTGATGGGCTCATGTTATCCCACCTACACCTAGATCCTTGAAGGTGGGGTCTAATTTCATATCCCTTGCAGATGAGCCCAGCACAAACAACCTCTTTTGAAGGCCTACTAAGGCCTGGCACTGGGGCTGGAACGGGTTCATTAGGCTCGCAAGAGACTCAGAAACATAAGCAAATAATTATAGAACAATATGTTAAGTGCTATCCAGGAAGTAAGCACAGAGTGCTCTGGGAACCATCTGTGCAGAGGAGGCCCTCACTAGTATTTACTGATAGGTCCTCAACAGCAATTGATGCTGCCATTTGGGTAAGAAGTGAGCACAAATCACCTGAGACTGGGGTTCTTTGTTCTTCTCATGCTAGACCTGGGTGAGCTCTTGATTTTGGACTACTGCCATTTTTAGCTTGGTGCTCTGTCACCTCTGGGGGTCACAGGAAAAAATATAGGATGAAGAAGCCCTTCCTTAGCTCAGGAGAAAATAATCCTGTCAATGGGTATCCTCACATTTTTAGGGAACTACTCTGTTCAAGGCACATCAGAGCCCACACGCACAGGATTCCAGGGGGAGATGCGTGGTTTCACCAATCTCCACCTGTGTCCCCTGCAGAGCAGGACAGGTGTATAGAGGGAAGGTGGGAAGAGGCATGGGGCCTTGGGAAGCCGGACTATGGAGAAGAATGGGAGGTGGCATGGGAGGAACACGGGATGGACAAGCAGCAGATCTGGATCCCAGGTGCCCTTGGAACTCTGGGTCTCAGTTTTCCCATGTCCAAAGTGAATTAGCTTAGAAGACTCTCAGGGTCCCTTCCAGCTCTAACAATCTCAGATTTGAATCAGCTTCAGCTGATTCTTAACTCATCAGAAGTGTCTATGACTTGACAGTTTAAATTGTTCAGGCTGCTGGGCTGAATTTTCAATTGTTTGCAAAATTCAGGACTTTTGCTGGACCGCTGAAGGCTCTACACTTATTTGTCGTTTATCATCTGCTGCTGATCATATGAGCTAATAAAACTGCCATGAAATTTTCTTTTTGTTTCCAGCACTTCAAAGCATCTACTTTTTTGGTTAAAACTCCCAGGCCAATTATTACATGAACTCCTATTAAAGTCCACTTGGCAGAGTTCACGCTCAAATTTTCAAACCTGAACTTTTCCAAAATCCTTGCCCAGACCCCATGCTGAGCCCTTACTCCTGATAAATGGTTAACTGCTTGCATGCCGCCTTCTTTTGGAATATAAACATATAAAAGAACAATAAGTCAATCAAGCATTTGGCTATAATCCTTCTATGGCTACCCTGCCCTATCTCTGCTTCAAACACAGCCTTACCCCAAACACTGCCTTACCCACAGTGATTCTATTTGACTTCTCCCTCTCCGAACCAGTTCTCTTCGTTTTTCCCCCTTCATTCTTTATTCTATTAATTATTTTTGCCAATAAAAATTGGCTCCATAAAATTAGATATGAAATTTTGAAGGAAAACAAGATTATATGCCGGGAAGATACTGCGAGAACTTTGGCAAATAGAAAGCAATTACTGTAAATGTCACGTTAACATTTTTGTGGAATAACATACTTCTCTTTAGTCCAAACTGTTAAAAAGTAGGCTTTAGTATATGTGCTGCCGAAATATAGTCCAGACTGAAGTAATTAAGTCCTGTTTTTCTCTCTCTTTCTTGATCTTTCTTTCCTCTGGAGAGTTGGGCATTTGTGTGACAAGCTCTTTAGGGCTCCATGGGTTCCCATCATTGCTCTCAAAATAATGTGGCTCAGAGCGAGGAAGGCTGGGAAGGAGGGCAGCAGGGAGCAGAGTGCAGTGGGGAGAAGAGCAGCCTCTGCAGACAGGCCTGGGTTCAGTCCCCTGCATCTTACCTGCATCGAGGCACCAGCCACACTATTCCTTTTTTTTTTTTTTTTAAAGATTTATTTATTTTAGAGAGAGTGAGTGAGCCCAGCGGGGAGGGGCAGAGGGAGAGGAAGAGAGAGAATCTCAAGCAGACTCTGCTGAGCGTGCAGCCCGATGCGGGGCTCGATCCCACGACCCTGAGATCACGACCTGAGCTGAAACTAAGAGTTGGACGCTCAACTGACTGAGCCACGCAGGTGCCCCCAGCCACACGATTCTTAACTACTCAGCCTGATTTTTCTCATTTGTAAAATGAGTAAAAGCATATCTTACAGTGTTGTTGGGCAGAGTGGACGAGATGATGCATAGAAGTACTTAGCATAGTGCCCTGTGGAAATCAGCTATTATAAAGACCCCTACTCATAGTTATTCACTGGATGAGTTAATGAATACATGTGAAAGACTTAGAAGAGTGTCTGCCGCAGAGCGAGCCCTTCGTAATAGTAAGAGCTGACACATTTAAAGACTTACTATGTGCCAGGCACTGTCCCAAGCACTTTCTATATGTTAGCTTATTAAATCTTACACCGGGGCTAGGAGATAGGCATTACTACCCTTCATTCATCATTCATTCATTCATCTAAAATTTATTGACTGCCTTCTGCTCTGTGCAAGGCGGAGGGAACAGAGCAGGGAGCAAGATGGTAGTCTTTCTTCGTGGTGCTCATAAGCCAATGGATGGAGATAGGGAAGTGGTATCACGTTGGAGATCATTTCAGATGGCAACACTCCTCTGAGGAAGGCGGGATGAGAGCGTTTCCAGTGGACTGGATGGCCAGGGGAGGCAGGGCCAAGCTTGGCATGGGGCAGAGAAGAGCTTGGCCTGGCTGGAGTGCCAGGAGCAGAGGAGAGGGTGAGATGAACTTTAGTGTTTGATTTGTCCTGCATGGGACTGCATTGGATGTAAAGGGTTTGCAAAAAGCTGGATCACTGAATACATAGTTGGAAGAAAGCTGGATTGAAAAGAAGTTTGGAAACCACTGATGTTAAGAAAGCTCTGCCATGTGAGGAATAAGGAGTCCTGGGTCCTGGCCTAAGCCGCTGGCTTCTCTGGTCTCCACTCCTGTCTCTGAAGGGTTATAGCAGCTACAAGGGCTACTTCCTCCCTGGTGTGTTTGTGGATCAGTTAAGGGGGGGTTCTAGGTAAGCAAGCCCATGGGCGTGCAAAGTACGTGAGCGGCTGTGGCCAGGGAGGCTCCTGGGATGCAGGCAGCGGAGGCAAGATCTGGCCAAGTGTGATCACCTAAATAGTGTTCCAAAGTTGCTGGAGGAAAGAGACCCTTGGGACAAATGGGACGTGCTCATTTAGATCACTGGCTGGATACTTCTCTCCTGGGCTTGGACCAAAAAAAGAAAGTGTTACGTCCAGGCTACACACAATACCAGAAATCAGGTAGAAGGTCTAAGTGGGTTTTCTGTGAGAGATAAGCTGGGAATCTGGGTCTCAAATTCACATCGTCAAACTATGTCTACACTTAAGAGAAGAGAATGGGGTAAATTATTAGAATAAATTCAGTAAATATTCAGAATACACGCTCTTAAACAACTGAGATAGCTTTTCTGGGCTTGTGCTGTGTGTGTGTGTGTGTGTGTGTGTGTGTGTGTGTGTGAGTTGTAGCCAAAGTGATTCTAAGGAAGTCACATAATTCTGAAGCTTCTCATTATTCCCTTTGTTTCTGAGTTAAAAAAACTAAGAGGCACAGAGAGGTTATTAACAGCCAAGTCAAGGATGCTGCATTTTGAAAACTTCATATAGTAAAATAAGTATTTAAAAAAGGTCAAAGAGGCTTCTTCATGTTACCTTCTCAAGAGATGGGGCAGACCCAAACTTTATCAGCTTGGGTCCCGGAACCACTTAGAACAGCGCAGTCAGTGATAAGCGAGGCGAGCGCTACGTGAGCCGTCTAAGTGTGCCTGTCCATTAGCGAGCCTTAGGAGATTACAGCAGTGTCTTTCTCACATTTTTTGTGTGCCTCAGTCCTCCTGCTCACTATTAAAAGGACAAGAGCTGAGGGCCAAGTTAGGTTCAAAAAGTCAAAAGACACTACCAACAGAAGTGTAGCTCTAATACAGGGCCTCTTTGGGTTTTTTTCCACTTTGAGTGAGACTCGCTCTCTTCTTTCCCTGCGTGTATGTTCGCGGTCTCTAACCAAAGGCTTACTTGTCATAATGATTAATCACTGGAACTAGACTTTGCAGAGGTTGGTGCCAACTTTCCAAGCCACTGCCATCAGAGCTCTGTTGTATTCAAGGAAGCATTCCTACAGCTGTAAAGGACACGTTCTTCAGGAGGAAATGGGAAAGACGAGAGAACTCCCCTCACCGCCCCCACCCCCAAATCCAAGCTTCCAGTTTTCCTATCATGTTGCAATTCACATACTTTGATCCCGTTGTGCCAACTTCTTTTTCCCACCCCCTCTTTATTGGGAATTTCCAGCCCACTCTCAGCGCCCAGGAGAGAGCATCCAGATCGGGACAGTCCAGGCTCTTTGACCACCAGAGAAGATTTAAAAAGGCCTAGGGAGGCCGCCCGGCCTCTCGGTGGAGGCACCAAACAAAGTCTTTACTGCTAGGAGGAGGCCGGGGCGTTCCTGCTTACCCTGGTAATTTGGATATTGTTCAGCTGCTGTTGCCAGTGTAGAATCGTCTCCATTCGGTACACCCACATGTTGATGTTCCCGACCAGCACTGACTTGCCGACTCTTTGCACCAGTGTGCATAAGGACGTGTAGAGAGTCTGCAGCAGTTCCCTGATTAGCCTGATGTTCTGCTGGTCTTCGAGGACTTGAAGTGAGGGAGAGAAAAAGCATGAGCAGTTATGATACAGGGACACGGTATATTTTGTACTCGGGCCTTTCTTCTTCTTCTTCATTCTGCTCCGGTCATGTGGGTAACTGCCTCTGGGGATGTGGTTTTCTTTCTCGCTCTTATTTATTCGACACCTGACCAAGCTTCTACACTTGAGGTGACTGGGGAGAGTTTCCATTATCTAGGTCCCTCTTTGTTCTCTTCTCCCTAGTTTCTGGCAAAGACTCTTTCTCTCTTCATTGTTTCACCAGCACCAATTGGCTCACTCGACCTGAAGGCAGTTTCTTTGGCCCAGCAGTGATGTCCTGTGTAGGTGGTCAGTAGTTAGGAACATGAGTTGTGATCCTGTCTGCCTGAGTCTTTGTGGGATTATGGATAAACTACTCTTCCTTAGGGGCCTCAGTTTCCCTGCGTGCACAAGGACTCAGATGAGCCAAAGACCTAAAGTTCCTTTTAGATCAAATAGTCTGTGAATCTATTCTGCCTTGTACATAGCTCAATTTTCTAGGAATTTGGAATCCAGAGGCTTGGTAGCCAAGCTTGGGACATGTGACCACACTGAGAAGTGTGAGAGGTGTGTAGCAGGGCAAATGGATGCTCTTGATAAAAGGATGGGAGGGTGACGGTCTCTCCCCTCCGTCCTGAACATGAGTGGCACACTCCTTTCTGAACTGGCATTTGGCACCCCTGAAACGCATCTGGAGTTATTCATGTCCATCCATGTCTCATGACGTGTCTGCTCTATTGGAAAATCCATCTGTCCATCCCCATCTCTATAAAAAGGGGAGAGAGGTGGGGCGGGGTGGGGGGTAAAGCTCACCTTTCAGTACCACTTTTTCCAAAATGTTCATGAAGTTCTTTTGGGCGATGCCACTCAGGGACGTGAGCTGTGACTTTGCTATCAGTTCCAACAGCTGTGGGTAAAAATAGAAGTTGCCAGGCTTAGAACACAGAGACATTTTTCTCCTCTAATCTTCGCTTTTGAGTCACATGACGTGGAGATACGGACCAACGGGGAGAGACAGAAGGCAGGCGGGCTCACAGTGGAAGACAAATGGGGGTAATTCAAAACCCAGGAATCAGGCTGAATATTTAATTGCTTTTTTTCTTTTGAATATAAAGAGTTTGGCTTCAGCCAGGGTGAATTCATTCTGCTTGTCCTACTTCAGCAAGTGAAGCCGAGGGACTCTGAAGGGAACAAAGTCGCCTACGACCTGCAAATGTTTGAGTTCTACACAGTCACTCCCAGCAGGAATCTTTCTACCCCTACTTGAACTTCTTCCCCACTGGTACCAACTGTTCTCAAGGCACATTATAGCTCATGGTCAGCAAGATGAGTACTTTCCAAGGAAGGGGCAAGTCTTATCCAGAAATCTCCTGCTCATGCAGTGTTCGGTAAAAATGTCTGTTAATTAGAATCTCCCATTGCACTTAATCTTCCCGTAGAAAGAGGCCAATCACAGGGAGAGAGGAATACAGGGTTGTACAGTATATATACATATTTCTACTTAGAGACTAGGATCCTCTGTGACTATGGGCAAGTTACCAAATTTCTTGGCGCCCCCATTTCTTCATCTGTACTAATAAAACTCAGAGTCCCCAAGACTGTTGAGAGCTTTGAATGAGGGAATGCCCGTCCATAAGGCACAGTGCCTGGCACTGATCACATGGAAAATCAAGGCTGGTTGGTTTGTTGGTTGGTTGGTTGGTTGGTTTGTTGAAGGCATGTGTCCTAATCCCACTACCCCATTTATCGCCAAACAAGAAGAAAGAAAGGTAATAATTTAAGTTGGTGCATCCTTAGTCTGCTTTTTCTTTGGTAGCAAAATTCTTTACAGATGTGGCAATATTAAAAAAAAATCTATTAAAAATTCTACTGTTGAAAAATGAAACTTAAGACTGGAAGGGCATCTTAGAGATCAGGTAGATCAACCCACTCAGTAGATGAACAAAGTGAGGCTCAAGAGACTAAGTCTCACCAACTTCAAGCAGTGGGAGGACTCAGCAGAGACCTCCCCAATACACTCCATGCTTTCACAAAGTCACTAAACAAAAGAGGTTGATGTAAAGTGAAAATAATTTTACCAGAGCCTAGCAGGCCCCCAACTAAAACTAGCTATGCTAAGACTTAGAACCAAGACCCCTCCTTTACATTAGAGCTTGAATTTCTGCCCCTAGGAAACTTTTCAAGGGAGTTTCATCTGCTGGCCAGGCCCCGGCCCAACTTCACTTCAGGTCAGTAAACACCGAGTGTGACACTGTGCTCGGGCACTGGAATCAAGGCTGAGAGAACTAGCAAAGTGACATTCCAAACACTGGGCTGCAGAGGAGAACTGAAACTCTTGGATCAAAGCCCTAAGCAATTCCAAGGCATTTGTTTAAAACTTCTGTCCTCCTGGAGCCCCTTAGGAGCCTGTCAAACCACATACAGACTTTTAATTTCCTGAACATAATTTTACCCTAAGTAAAATTTTACTCTAAGTAAAAACAAAACAAAACAAAACAAAACAAAACCCACCAAAAAAACAAAAACAAATAAAACACTCCGAAACCTCTCCCTGCCTGGCTTATGTATCTCTCACACACGCAGGGAGAAGGAGGTGAAGAAAGGCTGAGGCTGGTTTGTTAAGATTAGTACTGGTGATCCAGCGTTGGAAGTCAGGAGCTGACCTAGTGCCCACAGAAAGAGGCAAGAAGTCTGTTCATCTGTAGACGCTACATCCATGGGTGGGCGGTGACCACACTGGATGACCTCTGCTTGTCTGGTTCAGCTCTGTCACCAACCAGCATGTGACAGTCAAGAGAGGAGTGACAAATGGCGGGGACTGGCCAGACCTTTCGTTTATCTCCCTGACCAACAACAACCAGATTCAGAAGGCCAACCTGATGGTCTATTAATACCCTGTGCCTCACATGACCAGCATGAAGCAAGATGAAAGAAAACAAAAGCCTTGAGTCCCTCTCGGAAGGGCAGTTGGCTGTGCACTGTGACTCATCATGGGGTGGGGGGAGGGCGGGCAGCATTCTGCCTGAAATCCATCCAAAACCCAGATTCCATGTGACTACCATCTCTTGAAGGCGTCAGTGTTAATCTTGTCTAAAAAGGCACCAATCACAAGGAGAGGAAAACTCTCCAGGCTATGACTGTGCATTTGAGGGAAAACAAAAAGCCCTTTGGTCTGACTGAGATGGTGTTTGACTAAGCAGGAGGAGGAATGCAGCAGCCAAAGTTTCTCAGTTGACAGCAGAAGGACATGTCAAGCACCCTATGTTCAGCCCTATCTCAAGAGAAAGTCCCTCCTTCCACTGCCAGGAAGTTGTGGGGTCAGGAGAAAAAACCCTAGGGAATAGGAGACCCAGCTTCTTTAGCCGGGTGACCTTTACCACTCTCTTCCATTGGCAAGTATTTTCTGAGTGCCCACACTGCCCTAGCATTGTGGTAGGTGACATGGATATGACAATAAAGACACACGATGCCTAGACTCATGGAGTTTATGGTCTAGTCTGTGGTGTAAGTCTGCTAACCTCTCAAAACCCCAGGTTCTTCATTTCTAAAATGGAAATACAAAGACTACCTACTTCACAGGGTTGTTAGGAGAATTAAAGAAATAAATATGTGAAAAGCCACTCTAAATACAATACAAGGCATTATTATTACAAGATATTATTTCATCCTCTTCCAGACCCCAATCTTTTAGTGAAGTTTACAGCTGATATCAAGATTTAGCAAACTTTCTGTGAAGGGCCAGATAGTAAATATTTTGGGCTTTGTGGGCCATATGCTCTTTGTCACAACTACTCAACTACTTAACTCAGCAGTTGTTGTACAAAAGCAGCCTTAGACAATATGTAAATGAGTAGATGTGGCTGTGTTCCAATAAAACTTTATTTACAAAAACAGGTGGGGGGCCAGACTTGGTCCTTGGGCCCTAGTTTACCAACTTCTGATCTATATCTCTGATATATATAAATGTAATATATATCATAGATATATCATAAAATTTATGTGTGTGTGTGTGTGTGTGTGTGTGTGTGTAGAGTTTAAGAGGGTTTCAGAACCAAACTTGCTGCTTCAGTTTCCCCATCTGTGAAATGTGAATAATAGTATCCACTTCAGAGTTGCAATGAAGATTGACTGTGTTCATAAAGCATTCACAACAGTGTCTGGTACAAAGAATATACTCAAATTATTATCATTAGTTTTTATCATAATACAGAGACTGTTACTAGGTAATATTACTGCTAGGGAGGGGATAGTGAATTACTAAAGTAGAGCTGGCTTAAAGATCTTTAGAATCCCTGTATTTCAATTTTATTCGTTGTCAATCAAATACTTAAATGGTTCCAAATTTTAATATTCCTTTCTGTCATTTTTATTATGTTTGTGATCCATTTAAGAGCTCCCTGTCTGTTGATGAGAGTTAATGTTGATACATTTTATGTCTTACATAGCTGCATCTACTGCGAGGTCTTATTTGGCTAACAATTCGGGGGGTTACTACATACCAGTGACTGCACTAAGCACTTCACATGTACGATCTGATCTTGCTTAGTCTTCCATGGTGAGCCGATGAGTTGGGTTCTCCATTTGATAAAAGAGGACAGTGTGGCTCAACGAAATTAAGTCAAGTACCTCAAGTCACAGCAGCAATAGTAAGTGGTAGAGCCAAGACTTGTGCCCATTTGTGTCTTAATAGAGAACATGTATTTTGATCACTTAAGGACTTCAGCTTTTCAGGGTCAATTAAATTTATACCTAGGGCCAAACTTTAAAACTAGTAGCAATATTTGCTATGTTCTAGAAGACAGAGTCTAGAAATTCTCTATCAATATGACATTGTGACAGGTGATCAGCTTTAACCAGGAAGGGAGAAATAATCCCCAGAAAGTGTTAATAACACGATCGGGATGGGGCAGTTGCTTTTGGTAAACCATTTAGGTCTACTTTCCACGTCAGCAGAACTCGGCAGGCCCTGAACGGGTAGGCAGTATTATGTGGAACTAGTGGTAAAGAGCACAGAATTGATTCCTTTTACTTCTGTGTTAAGAGAGCTGTGTGCCTAGGGGAGCAGGACCCTAGCTAGCCATTTATTTACCAAGAGGACTTAGCCAACTGGATTCTTTGCCCCCAGCCACAAGAGAGCAGAGGAAAATGTCTTGTTGGGAAATAGCTGTTTCTTTTCTGCTGGGCAGATTTGAGCCCAGGTGCCAGGAATTTGCAGCTGTGTTTAAGGGGGAGTGGGAGGGTCAAGAGGAGGAGGACGAGGAGCAGGAGGGCTCTCAGGCTGCCCCCAAATTCCACGGCATCACTGCCGCCTGGGCAGTCTGGGTATCCGGCACGATTTGCGGTGACTAGGTGTACAGTCACAGGAATGGCTCTGGGCTACCAGAGGAAGGGATGGTGGTCACCGCATGTGGAAACCGCATCCTGCCCTTCAGCTTTGGCTCATGCTGGTTTTGGAAACGTTGAGTAGGAGAAAAATCGAGTTGCAAGCAATATCGCATAGCAAACCTCAGAGTGGATACCACCACAGTTTGAAGTGGTGTGTGGACCACGACTGGGCAGAAGGGAGATTTCCCTTCTCTCTCACTTTGCTGCAGAAAGAGCAGGTGTCTTCTCTTCTCTCCCCTTCAGCTCATCAGAGCATTCATACTTTACAAAACACATGAGCTCGGGTCACTGCTCTGCTTGAAACCTTCAAGCGGCTTCCCTTTGCACTTCGAGAAGAATCTAAACTCCTTTCTGTGGCCGGGGCACGGTCCTCCCTGATCTGGCCTATGCCCCATCTCCAGCGTCACTTTGCACTGCGCTTCCCCGACTCATTCTGCTCTAGCCGCACAGCCCGTCCTGGGTTTCCTGCACGGGGCCAGATCAGGCCCACCCCCCAGCCTCTGCCCCTGTCACGTCTCCCCGTCTCCCCGAGCTGGCTCCAACCCACCCTTCAGGCCTCAGTGCGGAGGTCACCTGCTCAGACCCTCCTCTACGGGAACCGTCCGGTCTCATCGTGCCACTGACCTATCTCTGCAATGATCTTGTGTCCTCATTCACGGACGGTCTAATTGGGATCCGAACCTCAAGACAGCAAGGCTTGTTTCCTTCCCTCTCACTCCACCCCCGGCCTGGCAACGTGGTAGGCGGGTGACCGCTATTTGTTTTCTAATACATCTGTCTTTTAGAATCCATGCGTGTTGTAGCTGCAAGGGACCTGGGCACGAGTATACCCAAGTCCCTCCTCTATAGAGGAGGCGGCTCATAATGGTCAGATGACACCATCGCGGTCAATGGCAAATGGTCTGTGGACTGTCAGGCTGGGAGTCAGACGGGGTCTGGTCCCACGCTGATGTTTCAGCAGTTAAATCACTTACAGTGCACACATATGACAGACACCTGCCAGGGAGGCAAGCGGCTGAGATCTAGAGGGACACTAAAATTAGGGCTTCAGAAGCATCCACGGACGCAGTAGCTGCCCTGCCCGCTTGAGGCAAAACCACACGGAGGTTACCCATAGGCTGGTGCTCAAAGCATACTCTAGCTTGCATTGAACGTGGTTAGGAACATAATTTATCTCTAAATTCTTCCATCTCTTAGGACAATGGGCCCTGAAGTTTGAGTTACAGGTCTTGATGGAGAAATGAGCCTCCGGGTTATCAAAGGCAGAAAAGAAGCTGCAAGAAGCCTGCCATTTTTCACGTGCTCAGTCGCCAAGCTGGGGGTCTCTAGGAAGCTGTTGTCTTCTGCAGGAAGCCCTTGGTCACGTCAGGCAGTGCCTCTGCTCGTACCGAGTGCCATGGACTTTCAAGACCCTTATTTATTCAGGGGAGAACACAGATTAAAAACCTGGAAAGTTTTGTCCTGACTTTGAGCTTGAACACGGACAGGTTGGAAGAGGGAACATTTCAGCAACATTAATAATCTTCAGGCATGTCAAGATTGGGTAAATATTATTTGCAAGGGAAACATCTCTCTAACGGAGGGCGTTAAAATCCTAAGAAGGAGGGCCAAGTTTATACAAATTAATTGTATTCTCATCGGAGAGAAACTCGCCTGTCTCTATCCATCCTAGATATTTTTGAACATGTAACGGTGCCCTGCTCCCTGTTGCGTCAATTGGAACAGTTCTGTTTGCCTCAATATTCCTGCTTAAACTGAGGTTCCCGTCTACTCCAGCACTCGTCACCTCTACCCTAGGATTCCATGAGGCTGGATGTCACATTGCCCTTGGTCCCTGGCCCACCTGCATTCCCCTCCACTCCCGTTCTTTCCCACGTCCGGATTTCTGCTTCTGCCACTCATCCCTGCAAAGCCTGTGACTCGCCTCTCTACCTCACCAGATCCTGGCCATCCTTCAGGGAAGGAGGCTGGTTCTTCAATCTCAGGTTCTACCTCTTCCAAGAAGCTGTCTCCAATACCCCCTTCATCCACTCTCCTAGACAGGACCAAAACCCCATTTGCCATCTCAGTGGTTGAACCTTGTCCCCCGGAGTAGCCCAGAAGCTCCTGACAAGCAAGGGCCAGGTGTTTGTTGATTCTCAAGTGGCTTTGGCAACACTAGGGAAATGTTACGGGTTGCATGGAGAAACCTCTGTTTAGGAATGTGAAAGCATTCACCCGAAGGAGTCTGTGATCTCTGGGGATCTAGCAGGAGGATGCTGTCAACTCCTTGCTATTGGAGCTCCTCCATCAGTGGACCTGAGGGGCTTTCCGATCCTAGCTTACAGATACTGGGAAAAAAAACCCCTCTGTTTTACCCTCAACCGGAGCACTTAGAATACAGTGCCAGATGCTCTCAGGAACTTACCTCCTTGAATGGGAAAAAAGTCTGCTGATTGGTATTTAAAAGTCAGCTCACCTGTCCAATTTATCATACCCCACCCCCTGCATAGTAAGCACCTGACTTAACCTAGAAACTAGACAGAATTTTTGTATAAAATATATTTCTGGGCCCATGGTGGGATAGGTTTAGATTCTGAGTCCTGAAGAAAAAAATTTGATCCTGAGGTCTCCAAAGTGGGATGGGAGAGGAAAGCAGGCAGAAAAACCATAAAACATCAATCTCTCCATTTCATCTTTAATCTCTGTTATTTCTATCATCTTTCTACTTGTGTGTTTTCTAATGCCTGTAATCAGGACCCGAAAGATGAGGATATTAATGGCAATAAGTGATTCTTATCGAGTGCTTACCACGTAACCAGGCACTGTTGGAAAGCATTTAAATTCAGTTTTAATGCTCTGAGCAACATGATGGGGCAGATATCATTATTAGCACCTTTTATAGGTAGGTGATTCACAGATGAATTTATGAACACACATAAATGGAGAGTACATGCTTACATTGTTTAGGAGTCCATGGTCCAAGACACCACTGTTCTGGGCTCTTGGCCATCCCTCATTTTCTCAGGTGCTCCCCACTTGCGTGAGCACCCTCCTACTTCTGCATGCACTCCATTATTTCCATGGTTCTGCAGGCACCCTTACTTCTTCAGGTAGCTCCCCACTTCTGTGGGTCCCCAGACATTGCAGGATCTGCAATGCAAGCCTGAGTGCTTGTTAGGACTGAAAGCCAGGAATTCTAAGAGACACAGACTTTCTCCTGTAAAAATCACTGGCAGCCTAATCCGCAGTCACTGAAGGACCCCACCCTGTGCCCTCAACTGTTAATGCCCTGCAGTGGAGTCTCACAATTCCCAACCATTTCTGCGAGTCCTTTTCAAATAGGCTCACAACGGCTCTGTTCTTTTGATTTGTTGCCTCTGGGGTGACTGGCCGCCTTCCCTCCATCCCAGCTTCTCTGTCCCAATGGAAAAAAAGAACCCCTGGTTTTAAGACCCAGGTGGCAGGGGCCACCCTCCATCTGAGGAAGGCGCCGGGTCTGTGCAGTGTCAAATTAATCCAAGGTCACTGCGGCAGAGGAACCCAGTGAAGGGGCCAGGCTTCTCAGGCACATCATGACCCACCAGGGGGTTGGCAACAGCACGCCCTTAATTTTAAGGCATTGGGTTTGAATTTGAGTCACAGTGCCATATTTCAGCCTTTTGTTTGCCAAACCGCCAGTCAACTTAAACTAAAACATGTTTTTGGAAAAGACTTTCAGGGGTGGTAGGAATGCAGTAACTTGCTGGAAACATTCAAATGATCTTAGGGTGGTGATGCAGAAAAAAATAAGAATGTGCCTGGGTTTAGGTTGTGATGTTCTTTTTTGCTGCAGAGGGCTAGAGAGTGGGGTTGCAAGCTTTTGCTTGTCCTTTCTGATCTGCTAGCACCTATGGGTCCGTTCATTCCAGTCAGGAAGTGGCCCTCAAGGTTCCCCAGGACCTTGCTGGTCTGGAGGGGGAAATCAACAGCCCTTAGAGAGAGCTGGGAGACCAGGTCAGAGGACATCCTGGCATTAAAGCATTAAGATCCTCTCCTGCCTGTGTGCCTCGCTGTATCTTGTTTAAAAACGCCACATGCAAAATATGGCTTTTGGGCTCCCAGTAGTTTTTTGAGCTGGTTCTCAAACTTGGAAACACAGGGATCACCTGAAGGACAAATTTAAGTAGCAAGGTGTGGGCACCACCTTCAACTAATTAAATCAGATGCTTTAGAGGTGGGCTTCTGTAGACCAACAAGCTTTGCTGGCTATTCTAATGTGCAGCCAGTTCAAATGAGAACCAGTGGGCCATTAGCAGGCTCACTTCAGAGAGCCATGAGTCGGTGTGTGATCTCCAAAACCCTCTCCCGGTTTACTGGAGACCCACTTTCCCCACTGGCCTCTCTGTGCCCTGGCTCCATTAATCAGCACTCACCTCCTCGTGGTGACCAAGTGCCAAGCCCACCACCAGCCCAGCCCCTAGAATCCTCACCAGCTCCCCAGGGGGGATTTCCAAAACGTGTTGGCCCAGAGGCACAATGTAAACCAATTTTTAAAACGACCTTTCATAAAATGGGTAAGTTGTTGCCTCTAAAGATTTTAAATCCTCTTTAAAACCCACAGTTAAAATTGTATTTAAGCCATTGGGGGTGTGTAGGGAAGGGGGTGAAGGCAGTGAGTAGAACCTGAAGCCTATCGAAATAAGGTACAAATGCCATATGAAAACCTTTCCAGTTTATATTCAAAAGTTTTGATTCAAAACATTCCACAAAATTTTCATACTTACTGATAAAAATGATGAAATCTTGAGATAGCGCTGTTAGCCATCTCTTTTATTCCCTCTGCATGGTCTGTTTCTGAAGATGACAGCCAGCATGAACACAACACATTTTTAAAAAATGTACTTGGCTTTAAAGAAATTAAAAAAAATTTTTTTTTTTAAGGCTTTCAAAGCTGGTTCAGTCATTCACTGGAACTAAGGAATCACTGTAGCACTGTATTAAGAACCATTAGGTGGAAGTAGTAAGATGGGGAGGACATATTGGCAAGCTACTTTGCAACGTTGGCTTTAGGATAAGAAGTATATATGAGATGTGCATAGAGTTCCTTAGTAGAAAACCCTCAGAACACGGTGCCTATCATTAAAATGTTTTAAGCTCTTTATAAAAATAACATTATTTCTCAAATTATAGAGGACTCTAACAGTGAAGGGGAAAAAAAGATGGCTCTTTCCAAAATAGAAACATTTTCCCACTACCGCTGAACCTGACAACTCTGAAAGCATGGAGCAGTTTCTCTGACTTAAAGATTATTTAAGGAAAAGTGCTCACAGTTTACAATTAGATACTATCAGATACAAGTTCTCTATGCTGGGTCTTTATCAAGTGCAAGATTTCCTTTTTTTTTTTTTTTTTAAGGAGAAAAACATTTATCAACTGGCCTGAAAAGGCATATTAGGGAGAATCAATAATAATTTTGGTTAGTAGGTAATAATAAATATTATAGCTGACCCTGAATAACAGATTCTGGTTTGCAGGGTATCTCCACAGAAAACACATTACCGAGTGGACAGCTACCCTGTGAGGTTGTTGTGAATCCTCATAGAAGGGGCAGCGGAGCCTTAGGGAGGCTGAACTAGCCTGGAAGTAGTGGAGACACCGCCTGACCTCAGACCATTGTCCGTTTCCATCCTCTGTTTGCAGAGGACTCCCTGTAGCAGTTAAGAGTGTGGACTCTGAGACGGACCAGGTTTTGGATTCCGATTTTGTGGCTTATGTAGCTTTGTGACCTTGGGCACGTCGTTTTACCTTGCTGTACACTCCCCTTTGTTTATTTTATTTATTTTTTTTAAAGATTTTATTTATTTATTTGAGAGAGAGAGAATGAGAGACAGAGAGCATGAGAGGGAGGAGGGTCAGAGGGAGAAGCA